GTACAAGTTTCATCAACGAAAGTGAATTAAATAAATTATTTAACGATAGATTTTTAGTAATTAATAAAAAAGCTCATTTAACATTTAATAGCAGTCACCAATAATAAATTTAACATAATCGTGTTTCTATATTGGAATATATTATATACTTAATTGTGGTTTAGAAAATTCTTGGGTGCAGGTAATAGTAAGGGAAGAAAATAAACTTTACATTTATTTTTCAGTCACTTATGTTAGTCTGCAAAATAAAAACTTGTTTCAAATTTTACTCATAGATGTTAGGCTGAAAAGATTAAAGGATTTCCGAATGAATATGTAGTACTGCATTTATATACCCCGCTCCCCAACAACAAAGTTGTGTTATATATCTGTAAACACTGGTTTTAATACAGTTTATTTGAATTCCTAATCTACTAACAAAAATACATATCAAAATATGTGTGAACAAAAGAAAACAAAATCACAAGATAAATTTCAGATTTAAAAAAATGGAATATTTCGAAAAATCAGGAACTAATAAAATGTATAATATATAATGTATTATATTACTATTCTCGATAGAAATTTTAAAGCGAAAGTCTGACGAATAATTTATAAAACAAATATGGTAGTGCATGTATATACAAGTTGTCTTCGAAAGATAAATATTCATTAGAATATTTTGTCATTTTTAGGTGAATTTATGTCCATATAAGTACTGTCTCTGTACACATTAATATATAAATGTTAAATATTAAATTATGTACCTACATTAAGTATAAGCTTAGACATAACATTTATTAGGATGAAAAAAGGGTAATAAGACACTTGAACTTTGTGAAATAATATTTTAGGGTTTCATAGCGTAGAATTACAACATAAACGAAATGTGGTAAAAAATCCTTTTAAGTCTGTATCTGTTACTCATGCGTAATACGTTTAACACCATATTATGTTTATAATAAAATTATTTATCAACATTAGTTCAAATATTGTATATACCTAGCTATTATATTTACATTCTGATAAGTGGTTGAAATCATCGTTTCATGCACTAACCATAATGATATTGCAGGAAATGTCCAGAGTAATATCAAACTCAACTTTAGAACATGACACGACAGACGACCTAGCTGAAACCTAGGGTAATGGTTAAAATTGCATTAACATTATGTACCATATAATGTTAGCAGTCAATAGTAACATCCATAGTCCATACATAAGAGGGTTATATGATTATGTATAATAATGATTAGTGATTACCATAGTCTAATAAACCACAGACTAGGTCCCTCAAATAACAAAATATATAGAAAAAAACACCCTTTGTCAAAAAGCCAAATAGTGCATTTATGAAAGTAGTACCAGAAATTAATTATGTGTACGAATGATCGTTCCAACAAATAGAAGAATATTTGCTTCTAAATCCAAATCCTATACTAATTAAGAATAATTGACCATGAAAAATACAATACAATTTGATACCTAAACTATTATTACGATGATTGAGGTGTATCTCCCGAAAGAATAGATACGATTTAATGAAATTGTTGTAGGTATACAAATGTTTATTATTCTTAATTATTTACAATTTGGAAAGAAAGGCATTCGAAATCGAACTATAGATATAAATGATTTACAAATTGCAACTTAAAAGTTATATTTACTTTTCTACACTTTTTTCCAAATGAATATTTCATGTGCATATAAAATGTGCGATAAAAAGCTAAACAACCAAGGTTTAAAAAAAAATGAATTGTAATATTTTTTAATGCGTGTGTACACAGTACCAACTACTTAAATAAATAAATACTATGGATATCTTAAGTATGATATTAAATTCATATTTGGATGGCGTAGTCGTAAAAATACCAACTGAACTGAAGGGTTTTCAAAAATCAATTATATACCCCATTTCGGCCATATAATATACATAATATAATGCAATGTCTCGCTCCCCCTCCTTATATTCCACCAGACATTAAAAATTAAATTTTCAAATTAGACGAACCCCGTAAAACAAAATTAAAGCAATAATAAAAGGAGTTTCGAACCTATCGAGTTCAACGATCCAAGAGTCAACAGTGAAAAGCGTGATATCGCAATTTTGGCTATTTAAGGATTCCTCGCGCTGGCCCCGTACTTTATTATTATGATTTATTATCATACAAAAATAGTTGTAGTAAGTACTATACACACGCGACGGACGAGCATAGCCGTACACGTCATACACGCAGCGACGACGGTCGTAAACATGTCATATGTGCGCATGCGCAATAATACGTTATACATACATAACAATATTATAGTACACACCGACACCACCGCCTCCGATGGAATGCGCGCGTATAATACTATATATTATAGGTATGTGTGTATTATAGTTGCCGGTTGACCCGAGGCCCGGTTATCCATATGCGGCAATGCGTTGAATGAAAATCTACCGCGAGCGTCTGAGTCATTTCCTGTCGGTCAATTCCCGCGCGCAACTTTCTCTCCGACCGTATGCCCCTCGGTAAACACGTATAGGTATCGCATGGTACGCATTATTATCTCTAGGTACACGTACGAAGGTACAACACGCAGCGAAAACAAACTGAGACGCGACACGACGTGGAAACCAGTCAGCTGAAGAATGCATTCCGAGAACGCATTCTGCACACTTCATAATATCATAATCTACGGGCCCCGTTATCACGCAGAAAAACATTATTATACACATTACACATTATTATATTATTTCTAGACAAGCTGACTATAATAATTGTATTAATATAATATTATTATTAGAAGTAGTTGTAGACAGTAGTAATAGTAGGAGCAAAAATGAGTAGTAGTAGTAATAGTAGTAGTAGTGGTAGTAGTAGTAGTAGTAGTAATAGTAGTAGTAGTAGTAATAGTAGTAGTAGTAGTAGTAGTAGTAGTAGTAGTAGTAGTAGTACCGTGTAGTGTGCGCGACGATTTTAACCGTTCATTAAAATCTGAAGAGCGCGAACATCGGAGTTTTACCGTAAAGGAAGAAATTGGAGACGCGTTACCACGGTAACCAAACGGGTCACCGGAAATCCGTACGGGGGGGGGGAGGCGAGATGCGTAATTTTTCGAAAAAAACGTTTTGGAAAACGGCGGCGGGCGGGGTCGATACACCCGCCGCAAAACATCATGTCGGGGTGGTGGTAGTAACGACGCTGACGTCACGTACGGGCGCAAGCGTACATTCGGCTGACGTCAGCTCCCGCAGGACGGGATCGATAGCGTCGCGGGGCGTGGGGCATCACCACTGCCACCAAAAGGGTACCCCGCGAGCTTCACGTCGTCACCGATCACGATGTGCCATGTACAGGACGCTGCTTCGAAAAAGCAGTTGTTTCTATTTGTTTGTGTATTTTATTTTTTATCCAATGAAATGATCACCGTGACCATAAAACGGGTTACAGACTCAGACTTACTTTATAGATTCTATTGAAACATAGAACACGTCACCGGATGCCGTAGGTCAGTTGAGGTACACGACTAGCAGCTACGATTGTAATATATTATTATTTAATTATGTTCCCCCGGAATAGTCGTGTATATTTTTTTTTACTACGTGTCATCTATTTTTAGAAACAATACCAGCAGACGCAGGTAAAACGTTAAACCGCTCTCACATTGTATATATTATTATGTTTTATTATAATAAATATATAACGAAACTTCACGCACGCACGACCGGCGCAACGGTGTACTGTTGTAATTATTATGCATTACATAGACTTGGTGTGGGATGGGAGCGCTGTTAATAATGGATGCACCACAGTGGACGAAAAAGTAATGGAGAACTGAAGAACAAGTCAGTTCCGAGAAACTATAGGCGTGAAGGACAACGAGTGCGTTGAACCAACCGACACCGCCGCAGGTACCCGAGACGACGACGGCGGCGGCAATCTTTGCTCGCAGAGTTGTAGCAGACAGCTGCAGTCGCCGTGACTCGTGACCCAAACGCGGGAGGAAAATGGAAATAATATTATTATTTACGTCGTAACATTCTACCCGTACGGCTCCGGCGACCGTCACTATTTACAATACATCTGCGGGGTTTGCCGATCCCCGGCCGGCGTTTGTATATACGCTTGTAGCTGCTGATCCGTCCGAAGTGGTTTTTTTTATTAATATTAAATTTTTTTTTTTATATATATTATTAGAAGTTGGCAACAGTGGTCCGCGAGCTTATGTTCACACCGGTGACGACGGCGGGGGGAGGAGTGGTATATAATTCTATAACCGCCGCATTCATCAGCTGTGGTCTGAACGACGGTTGTGCGGCGGCGGCGGTCTTTGCGTACGAACGACGACGTACTATATTATAATATTATTTAGTCGTCGTACAAAACAGCGTTACGTCGAGAAAAAAAAGAGTGGGAACCTCCGATTGACGCACACACACACACACTAGCACGCCGTGTAATAAACCAAAGGATAAACAGCTGACAGCCCGTTGCTGCGACACCCATATCGTGGCCCCACGAGTCTCGCGTACCACCGCCGTCGACACACACACAACCTACAGAGTTACGTACTTGTAGCGGGTGTGCGGATGTGTGTGTGTGTGTGTGTGTGTGTGTGTGTGTGTAATATTATTGTACTCGAGCTGCCGCCGCAGATGATGGGCTCGATGAATGAAATCGTTGCGCGTATAATATTATTATGTGTACACGCATCGACAAGGACGACGCAAACGTAAAAATATAATAATAATAATAATAATAATAATAATCAGAACTATAGTAGTAAGGCGACGAGATGCGGCGGCGTTTTCCGACAGCCGAAAACAAAATAACCATCGTTGCCCGCCAAATAATAACGTTTAAACGTATACGTACACACCACACGCATAATTATGTTTTGTATATCCATATAAATATAATATTATATTTAATCGTCACTTACGCTTATTGTAAAATTATTATTAATATTGTAAAACCAAAAAAAAAAAAAAAATGATTTAGATTTTTTAAGCAAAGTTATTATTTTTTTTTTACCTTGCTGAGTTTCTCGCCCTCGTGGTGTGGTATGAGCGTCCGTAGGTTCTGGAAACCCGCGTTTATCGACTGCATTCGTCGTCTTTCGTTGGAGTTGGCTATCTCCCGGCGCATCCGCTTCTCGTGCTCCATGGTGACGCTCATCTGGGGTGTCCTGTGGCCAACCACGATGGGTGTAAGTCCCGTCGGAGGCGAATCCACACCTTCCTCAGACGCGTTTGTCAGACTACACGTAAAAATCAATTTAATATCAGTATTATTGAAACGATATAAGTGAGGGGGGATCATAGTGTAGGCGATTTAAAGTTTAGCTCCGAAAATAATCCTACGGATGTGCCACAACGATAACTTACTGGAAATAGTAGGTACTATAGCTGATAACAATAATTATAAGACGTTAATAAGACAGGTGTAAAGAAAATCTAATTACATGTAGTGGATCGAGTGTGTTGTACACAATTATAGGTCACTTTGGATGGTCGAACATTGAAAATGCGAAAACTTTGTACTAGTTTATACGAACAATCAAACATATACAACCTAACCTAACCTTTTTTTTTATAGTATAATTTATAATAATATAATTAAGTCTGAAATCATGACAAATTATATTAACAATGTTATAAGTTTAATGCCTAAGATTTTATACACTATAATTATTTCAATTAAATTGAGACCAAGACTCATAAAATATGGTTTTGACTATATAGGTATAACACTATATGATTTATTATAACTAATTTAGGTTATAAGCATTTTTGTTTAAATATTATTTGTCACAACTTTATATATGTATATATAAATATATTATTAGAACCAAATAAATATCATTAAACATTAAACATGTTTGATATAATTTGTCATGACTTGTTTAAATTCTAATATATTATACATAATAGGTATACTATGAGTTTATTTGCGTATAATAAACAAGGCGTCCACATTCTGCAACGTATATTTTTACCTGACCGTACAAAGTCTATGTGTTCGGCAATCTACATTTTTACCCGATCGTTCATTTTCCGAGTTTTGCATTTTAAACAATGGGCCGGGAAAAGTGACCGTTTACCATTGGGTACATCACAACACCTGGCAATCTAATTTTGACACCCCTCTCTTATAAAAGTAAATAGGATCCAAAGCATGAGTCTTTAGGTTATAGTCAAATCAGACAATGAACTTTGACCCAAACCCTCACCATGAACACACAATAAAATATAATTATATTGAATACAAATTAATATTTGTAAATATCATAAGTTTACTCATAACAATAAATTCAAATAATTTCAACTAGGTAGGTAAATTGAATAAGAATTTACGTATATAATTTTATACAATATTAATGATAACTTGAAATAGCTTATGAAAGTCTAATGTCTAAACCTTCTCTACATATTAGTTATTCTTATTGCCGTCTATAGTCACATGTTTCACAATGCGAGGTTTTTCTTGATTTGTCAGAATGGCGTTTTCTAGAGTGCTCTTTTTAATTTTGAACCTATGACAAGAGAGGCTCATAGCCTAAGGTTAGATACCTCTAACCTAACCTAACTACACCAACCTTGATAGTGTTTGGATAGAATTAACATTGTAAGTGTAGGATGGCTAACAAAACAAAACGTAAGAAAATCAAACGGATAGAGAGCATTTCTACAGGAAAACCAGTCACACACAGTTATTAATCTTTATCGATAAATAATCTGAGAATAATCAAAATTGTAGGTACTGCCTATAATACCCGCGACACCACGAACACGCTATTTAAAAAAGTGCACCAATATACTATATTGTTAAATATTTTAAGAGTTTCCTTATAAATTCTTTCACTCCGTGATATAACTATCTAATCTGTATGTGATAGGTACTGACTTGAAAAAACACCAAACAAATTGCACAGCCAACAAGGCGCCAACAGTGATTACTGATTAGTATAATAGGTACATCATTCATTTTTTTTTTACAAATGCTTCTATTATGTAAGGTATTTAATTTCACCGTCACACAATATAATGCAGAGCAATATAGACGAATATTAAAAGATGGGAGGGTTATATTCTGAATTATGCATACGAGTACACTACAATGGTCGGTGTAAGTCTGTTACCGTACAAACCGTGTAATACACAATACCACTGTACTTTCCACATATTTTTTTAACGTTATAGTTATACTACCGATTTGATTATCATTCAAAACATAAGGAAATAATACCTGGGTACCTATTCACTTTGGAAAACAATAAATTTAAGTGTTCAAGAAACAGGGAAGTAAATATGTTAATATCATCACGGAATTGTTTAGTCCAGTTATATATTTTATTTTAATACTACTCGCTAAAAATGGCATATGACTACCAAGTAAAATTATCTCAAAAATTACAAGTGTAAAAATAGAATGCATCGTTTTTCATTCACCAAAAACAAAGCTAATGAATTTAAAACTGTAAGTTATGTTATTATAAATTATTCAATTTTTTCGTTCGTTAAAAATGTACTTCTCTAGAACACCTGTTTCTCAACTTTCCATTGACACTTTCTTAGTTTATGCAAAATTGTGCTTTATAAACAACAATAGCACTCATTTGGAATTTTCTGAATTTTGAATCAGTTTTTATTTATTTACCTTTAGTAAGTAACTATAACTATCCATCAGTTATTTGGTTTAATAGGGAAAACATCAAGGAAAACATGGTGTATTAAAATTCTTACTCATTTTAAACAGATACCTAATTGATAAGGTTATATTATGCAATTAAATACATAATATACATATTATACCTAATAAGTTCAACTAATTTCTAAGTCCAACTATTAATATAGTAAGCACGAAATTTACAGCAAATTTGATGGTAATTCGGTATTTTTACACAACGCAGGTAGGCACAATTCGTAAAATATACAAGTGAACAGCGCATACGGTTTACAAAATTTTTTTAAGCATTCATCTTTGCATTTTCTACGGGTAAAAATACAAAGCTTTACTCCGGTGGTCATTGTTAAAACGTATTACAAGTATGTAATTGTTTTTTTTTTTTTTAATTGCCATGTAAAACTCTAGACTTAGAACGGTGTATATTCGAGAGTACATTGACAGTATAGACGTAAGTATATCACACAAAAACTAACATGCAACCTGGTGGAAATGAATGTTTAATTAAACTACGTGTGGACAAAAACTACACTACTTGACATCTGAACATGGGTAACTTTTCAGCCGTCCACGTTTGACGGAATACGCAGAAGAAGCTAAACCTTATCGCGCGTCAGTGACTCACGCGCTGATGACTAAGAGGATATTTTTAAGATCAAAAGCTGAGTCGCAAGAACCTAACATTGCAATATACTCGCATATACCTAAGACCTAACCTAACGCAATCGCAACAAAAGTAAAATAGGTAGGTGAACATATTAAGACAACATCGTGTCTGTGGTCGTTTTATGATCAGTTTGATTTTTTTCGAACTCGTTTCGGCGCGATCGGCACGCATTCTCCTCCTCCTCCTCTAAAGTCTTACCGCTGCCGCCGACGGCTCGTTTATTATTTCTTTCTATTTTTCGCGCGTCCGTGTCCTTGTGCGGTTTATTATTATTATTATTCTTTGCCATAAATAATCACCGTCTGGCCCCCTCCGCCCACCAACCGACGAAATCACACGTTTCGTTCCGTCCTGGACTACACATTATTATCTCTGTTCGTCAGCTGTAAGCGGCGGCGGCCGAGTACCCTCGCCTCGGCGACGCCGTGACCTCCAGACGGGATGGGTAGCGACGGCGACGGCGGTGACGCTCTGCCCACGGACGGACGGGCGAAATCGAGCGCGCGCGCACTGCAAAACCGCAGACGGCTGGCTGGCGGCGGGTTTTGATCGTTCCGACCGTCCGTGCCCCGCTCCGCCGGCCACCGCACACGAAACCACGCTCGCCGGCCGGCCGGTGTGGCGGTGTGCGGCCTTCCTTCCACGAGGGCCACCTAGAATAATATACCAAGCGTGGCCTACATAATAGTGTAACCGGCCGGCCGGCCGGCCTCTGGGACCGAATAAAAGAATAACCAAACACTACGACGGGACACATCGTTGAATCGTCGTCGTCGTGGACGCCTTATAGCCTATAATTATTATTATTATACACCACTGGTGTGCACGCCGCCGTTTTGACAGCTGTGCCAGCCGAAACCGGTTGCCGCCGGCGACTAGTACACACACCGGCGCACAAGAGAGCGCGCGCGGTGAGGACGACGACGACAACAATAGGGGAGGACAGCTGGCCCAACAGCTGGATGCCGGCGACCGACCGACCATCTGCCGTGCGCGCGTCCGGGCCGCTTTAGTAGTCGGGGAGTTCAGGATGACCCAACCAGAGGATTTTTTTTGAAAATAAAACAATCATTTCTAGTAGGGAAAAACGCTCAGGTAAAACGATGGCTGCGATGAAATCGTAAACTACGGTTTCTGTGCACGCGAGAAAGCCGACTGCCGATCGTAGACTATTCGGCAATATTACACTATTGCAACTACTTTCGTCTATGAACATTATCACCGTCAGCAGCCGATGGGAAATGATAAACAACGCGGGTTTTTTTTTTATCGATTATTTGTTTTTATTTTTGCGCATTGATAAAGATACCGCCGCACACAACAGCTGACGGGCGTGTACGACACGGCAGATAACTATGCACACGTACACACACACACATGCGAACGTAATCGTAAACCAACGTTCGTTTGTATAAATGATACCAATTACCGATTATCTTTCGCCCCGTCCCCTCCCCCAAAAAACCAAACAGAAAAATCCGCTCACCTGCAATAGTTTAAGTCCTCGTGGTCGTAGTGCTGCAAATCGTCGAACCGGTCTTCCGATCTGATCGTTATAGCCGTGTCCATGGTACGTGCGAACGTCGGCCCGACGTTGGTCGCGCGCGAGACTACGGCGATGGCGAACCCGATGGGTGGCGGTTTGTTTTAGCGAGGAGGTAGCGCACGGTCAGAACAAACTGAAGTCCCCCTTGTTTTTTTTTCCTCTCCAAACGACAGCACTCGCACGAACTGTAATTATTCGACGTTCGACGATATTATATAATTAAATATTATTGTTATAATTATATCCCTGTGATTGTCGCCTGGCGGACGAAGCGAAATTCCCGTCGGGTTGCGCGCGGTTTCGTCGGCGGGGCGTTCGTACGGCGACGGCGGCGGTTTGCCCGGCAACGGGGAGCTGGCGAGAAAAAAAATGGCGCGCGCGCGTAACCGATGCACGTACGTACGCCAACACAATGAACTGCGTTATGGCGGGAAACAGCTGTCCGCTGCGCCGCGCACCGATACCGCCGCCAGAGCGACGTGCGCGTATTCGTACGCCGCGCACGCGGCCACCATGTTTTTCTCAACATTTTTCGCGCTCGGCGGCCTTTGGACGCGGCCACGGCATGACGTATTAGCCACCAACGTGGGCCATCCGATCGGTGGCATCGAAAACGGCCTTAAAAGCCGATAAACGGCCTTTCCTACACGGGTACTGCTCACTTGCGGACCGGCCCGTCAGCGGTGGTGGGGATAGGCCGGACGGGTGTACGGCGAAGGCACTGCGACAGGCCGAGGATCGCGGTGGCCCGGTGACGTCCGCCAGGGAGCGACACTGTGTGCAGACATGAAATGTGAATCATTCCGTCGACCGTGAAAAGCACAGAATACGTGTACCTAGTACAGTAGTACGCCAGTAAACCCGCCCCACCAATTTTTTTTCAAATTCCGCGACGTTACAACGACCCGAAATGAGGAAATTTTTCGAATTCCTCTAGGGCGCGTCCAAAAACGTTGCTACTTGACGATCGGTATTGCCGACCATTCAATTTTTTGGGGTGTCGTACTTTAGTTGAACTCAATAAATACTTACCTGTTCTACCAACAAACATCTCTAATGCATAAAAATATGGATATATGTTGTCAAATGTTGGTATAAATCGTTCCGTATCAATTCGCCTATAGGAGAAACGTAATGATAAAATGGCTAAGGTTATTCAGGGACTTAAAGGAATAATAATATTCTAACACATGTATTATTGCATTATTAAATATTTTAACCGTTCATCATTATGACTCAAATACACACTACTATACCTATTAACTCCGATAATAATATAAAAGTTTACATTTTTGGTATTTAGTCATGTAATGGTACCAATGTACGTTGAATATACATCAAATAATTTGACGATTTTCACTTTAACAATAATTATGACTCATGTATGATTTTCTTATACATGTGCACGGCATTTATTGTGAATAATTCATACATATACTACATTTTTTAAAACAGCATAATAATAAATAATAAAATAATAAGTCAAGTATCATTGTCATCTTAACTTGGACAGTTAATTTATTATGAGTAATCGGCTATTGACAAATTGCAAGTGCCAAAAAATCATAGGAGCTACATCATAAATCAATTGTACTAAACTATATTTCAGTAGACTGTGATTGTATTACAATATTACAACAACATCTAATTCTAATAATGCGTACAAATTATTGCTTAATAAGTATAAAAAAAGGCCACTGTGGTGATGGGAAGGGTACATTAAACTCCCTTCCCATCATGATTGCCATTAGCTGTTTATGATCAAAATAAATATTAAAATTACACATAAGTTAAACAAAAAAAAATTAAACAAAAATACAAACTAATAATGATACAGTACCAAATGTTTGAATTTATCATATTGTAATGTTAATAAAAAAATAAAAGTTAATAGAATTAAAATTGTACAAATCTTTCTAGTAATGTAGGTATTATACAAGTGATTTCTCAAATAATTTTAGTCAACAGATTAAAAGCTCAACAATACTTAAGTCATTTGTCTCTAATAAGTTAAGAATTTGTAAAATAACACTAATTTTGGTGTTCATATGAAACTCTCATGTATACTATAATAAACAATTTAACATAATTTAGAATATTACAATCATTCATAAAAAAATTAAAATTTTCTAAAAATTATGAATATTATTTCAATCAGATTTAAAATTACTAGTTGAGCAAAAATGATTTCCATTATTAGTCTGTTATTATTCCTAATTATATTAAAATATAGATTAAAACTATTTAACCAATCTAAGTCGAATAGTGTTCACTTGTTCACTAGACTATTTAGTATTTTAACTATAAATACATATTTATTTAACATTTCGTTTAATTCGATCTAATAACCATAGGTAGTAATAATAATTATTATTATCAATTATCATTATAAATATTATAACATAAATTATATTTGCATATACAACCACAAACACAAGTCATAAGGTCAATTCACAGGTATTTTTTTCTTTTAGATTTGTTTTTTAATTTTTGTATAAGATCAAATATTTTCAGTGATGGTCCAACTTTATTTCCTGTCATATGTATAATTTCTTCTTTGGTGAGATTCAGCAATTGTAAACCATCAATATTCTGCAAACAATATTTAATGAAACAAAATATAGGAAATATATAGAAATTTCCTTTCAACAAACTAATTACTTGGCTTAAAAAAACATCACAATATGTAGCGCACTGATTAAAAAGTAAAAACTCTGATACATCTCTTTCGTTCCACATATTAGTATCTTTTTCCAAAAATGATCGTTCTGGTTTATCTTCTTTAATACTTGTTGCATTCTTAGAACAAATAAATATCAATTAATTTAAATTTTAAACTATTATATATTTCCTTCAAATAAAATGATTCTAAATACATTTGAGTCATTGCTCCAAGATGATATGTATATTATATAAATAACTCATTTTTCTTCAAATGATTAAAATTAAAAATAGTACTAACATTTACACTAGCAACTGGTAGAGATTGATCTGGACCTAATGGTTCTGTTGCTGAAACTGGACTTCGTACACAAGTTATTTTATTGTCGGCAGTCCATTTTTGACAGACCTAAATAAAATAATACATATTAGTACTGTCTCAAAGTATTAATGTTTATATTATATTACATCCACAGAAGTATAACAAGAAGTAGGAACCTTTGTATGAATTACTAAAGGTGGTACAGTTGCTTTTTTAGTTGGTAAACGTTGATGTTTTTTTGATTTTTTCTTTTTGTGTTTACTAGGCCGATGCTCTAATATAAAAATGCAATTAAATCAATGTCAGTCAAATAAATTTAAGTTTATTTAACAATTATTACCTTGAACAGGTTGTGTGATAGGTCCTTCTAATTTATAGCCAACTAATTCACACCAGCCAACTGGAAATATATCAGATGAGCAACAATCTAACCATTGGTTGAAGTCATTTTCCCATCCATCAAAATGAACTTCAACTAACCTGCCCGCTGTTCTTACTATAGTTGCCACACATATTAAATGAGGATTCATTAAATCAGTACACTCAAGTTTCATACCGCATTTAAATCCATGATCAGGTATTTCCTAAGGACAATTTTTAATTAAAATGTATAAGTATTAAAACAATTATGTATTACTAAATAATATAATATGAAGCATCATTTCTTTAAAATAATTACTAGATAATTACTAATTATCTTATATATAAGTTAAAATTAAATTTAAAAAAGTTATGTATTAAATATATACTCATATTACACACATATTATTTTATTTTTTAACAGTTATTATCACTTTAATATACACATGTAAATTGCAAATGCAGTCATCTATTATATAAATCAAGACTAAATTAAGAGGACACCAATTCACCAAACCTGCATGTGTCCCAGTCTTACAAACGTACAACATGAAAATTATATGATAATATTATATTATATTATATTATATTATATTATTATATTATATTACATATAATAATCCATTTTACAAAGATATTTTTAAAATTTGACCTATTAAATATTATACAATTTTAAGATTATCCAGGGTAACTTGGAAGTTTTTATTTATATTTTAATTATAAAGTAAGTCATGAACATTTTAGAACTGTATATTTTTGTAAATTTTAAAAAGACTATAACTTGCTACAAAATTGAAATATTACTATTTTGTATATTTGTTAGACGGAGAACACAAATGATGAAAATGTCATCCTAGTAAAAAGAAATCCACATAATAATTTAAGAGGATGTCAGCGCACCATTTGTTTTCTCTCTCTAGCCCACGCGTGATATGGACAAACTACATTTAAGCAGAATCATTTTTTCTGGGTTCGCAAATAATCTTAAAGTAAAATCACCCATTACAAAAAAGATAGACAATAATATTTTTGAGGAAATGTCATATTGATTTTATATTTTATTGAAATTTGACTTTGTATTCGACTTTCAAAATAAACAAAAAAATGTTGTACATTTAAATGATGTTTAAATTGTTTTGAGAAAATATTTAGATAAATCGATATCTCATTCCCTCAAAAATATTGTTCTCTATCTTTTTTGTAATGGGTGATTTTACTCCAAGATTACTTAAAAACATAGAAAAAATGATTCTGCGTAAATCTGTTTTGTCTATGTTGCGCGTGGACCAAAGAGAGAAAACAAATAGTGCGCTGACATCTCTTAAGTGTATAAAAGTAATAATCTCCAATAGAATGTTCCACTTATTTAAAATACTTATTAACATTGAGTGAGTTAGAACTATCTATACTCAATGATATTAACAATTTAATTATTCTGTTATTCAATTTTAATGTATATTGCCAGGGTAACAAAATAAGGATTTAGTTTATTTGTTTGTTTTTTTTTTTTTAATACAGTAAATATGCATAGTATATCATCAGTTAACAGGCACAAAATCTTAAGTCCTGGCTGAATTTTCTAAGTTATTGTTTGCATTGTTTTGTAAGGTTTTATCGGTTGAATACGATAAAACTAAAAGATTCTTTAAATGTTGAGTTAAGCAATTTTAACCATACTTAAAATGTAATTAATAGTCGTTACAAAACAAGCATGTGCTATGACTGAGGTCAATCTGCATCACAAAGTCGTGTTATTTTATGTTATTAATATATTAATTAATTGTACATACAAATACAATAATATATGAATTAATCATACCGTGTCAAAGAGATATTCTGGAGCTGCTATACTGCTAGAATTGACTAGATAGTCATTCCATATAAAAGGGTTAATTGAATTTTGAGGAGGTTTTAAATTAATGCCATGTGCTTCACAAAATCCAGCTGGCATAATACTTGCTGATGTACAATGATAACAAAACCAATCTTTTGGTGTACTGTTATAAAAGTCAATAGAGATCATTAAATAACCATCATTCAATACCTAGAACATCAAAAATGTAACCATTTTTCTTAATTAGTATTATATTTTAAGCAAAATGTTTTCATCATTACTTTCATAATTGTTGCAACACATATTGATGCAAGATTTAAAGGATCAATAGCTTCCAGCTTCATTCCAACTTGAAATCCTGACTTAAATGGTATTGACATTGGAAATAGATCTTCTGTAGCATCATCTTTATCACGTAAACCTTTCGATGTTCTATCACAATATTCATCAGGAGCACACAAACTATGACCTACTCGGCCAGCCCAACCAACTGGATGAATTAATGGCGAGTCTTCATGTACCCAAAATACTATAAATTATACAATTTTATTTCATAGTTTATACTTTATTAGTTCTTCAAGATTAAATTAATAGGATGTTAGCGCACTGTTTGTTTTCTCCCTTTGTTTGGTCCACTCGCAACATAGACATAACACGTTAATGTAAAATCATTTTTTTAAAAATATTTTTAAGTTATCTTAGAGCAAAATTATAGAGAGTAATATTATTGATTGTATTACTTATTGATTTGTCTAAATATTGTCTCAAAACAATTTTACATCCATTTAAATTTCTAAAAAAATATTTTAGAGTTAACTTATACAAAAATATTAAGCTCTTTCATTGTGTTACAATATATCATTCAAAAATCTTAAAAAAACGATTTTTCATGAATGCGTTTTTAACTATGCTGAGCATGGGTGTGAGGGAAAACAAATATTGTGCTGCTGACATCCTCGAAACTACCATAACCTGTCTCATATAACTATAACCTCAATTGATGGGCTTCTGTTCACAATGAGTATGTGACAGAAGTGCTGAGTGTTCTTCTCTCGGGAACATCACTTTAATATTACAATAAAAGCCTAGCTGGCATTTTATTAAAATTAATACAGTAAAGCAATTCTTTGGCTGTGGCTGATCAAAAAAGAAAGCCGACAAAAACAATTTATTTGAGAGCTGTGATCTGATTAAACTACACAAAAATCAGCCACCACCAGAGGTTACTCTTGTATGAGAGAGAGTATTGTATAAGTGTACAAAAAAAGGTCTTACCTTGTTCTTCATCATCATAATACCTTAGTTCTAACCGTTTACCAATTATATTAAGTATTTTGGCTACCTTAACTTTTGATATATGTTCTTTATCAATTAATTCCAAATTCAAATCAATTCTAAGACACAATACAATTTAATTAAGTAATAATATTTATACAAGCTAAAAATATATAATAATTAACTAAAATGTTACCGAAATTTTGACTTCAGAGATTCAAATATTTTTAAACGAAAATTTGTAGGCAATGTTCTAGCTCCTGTTAAACGCTTGACTAAAAAATCTTTCCAATCACATTGTTTTGATTGAATAGCTAAAAAATGTTAAGTTAACTAAACAATATTATAAAATTCAATTTGTTAAATTTAATACTTACACTTTGGAGGTATTAATGGTTTACCCCTTGTTGCACACCACCCAACTGGATGTACAACACAAGAACATAAATTTACCCAAAAATCACTACTTTCTTCTGAGTCATACCCTTCATAACGTAATTTCGCTTTATATCCTACAAAAAAAGTTACATTAATTTATTTCTAAAAACAAATGAAACATGCATAATATATATATAAAAAAAACAAACCTGCAATATTAATTATAGAAGCAACCCAATAGTAGTCAGGAAATTCTTCACTAAAATTATCACAATCTGTATTTACAACTTCAACTTTAATTCCAACTGCTATATCATCCCAACAATCAGCCATAGGAGCCTATTTATCAAATTCATTTTTGAGTCAAAACTGTACGTATAAACTATTATTTATATTAATACATACATAACGGAAACATTGAACAGGAACAACATCATAATTTTTGTTAGTCAAATCTTTCACCCAATCATATGTTTGAGGAATTGGTCGACAAGGTTTTTTATCAGGAGGAAACAATAAATCTTCTTCAGTGGGATATGTAGTAAAAGAAAGTGAATCATCAGATTCAGATTCATCTTCCACAATTTGGTGAGCTTTAACTTCACTATTTGCAGCAGGAATAAGATAATTATCCATATTCACATCAATTTTGGGCTGAAAACAATAATTAGAAAGCATTTGGTTTTAAATTATTTTTAAAGTCTGCAATATACAATTTTACTCATGTCTACAAACTCTATACCAAATAATGAGAAGATTTCTCTACAAATAGTTATGCCATTAGACAGTAGAGGGGCTAATTTGTCATGGCCGCTGATGCAGCAATACATGTTAAGAAATCATTGTAGTTGTTATAGACAATAGTTCATAGAACAAAGTGCCAAACACTTTATTTTATTTTAACATAGTGGTCATGTGAATAAATGTTGTGTTTAATGTACTTGTAAATATTAATGGACTTAAATACGTTAATTTCTAACTAATATTCATTCTAAATTTTTTAGTTACTAATGCAAAACATTTTTTAATTCAAAAACATACCATTTCAGTAAATAAATGCTCATCATTTACAGAAGTAGAAGAAGATTCTAGTTCTTCAGCAATATTTTTTTTTTGAGATTCTCCAGACCAATAGACTGCAGACTTTTCCATTACTGCTTTAACACAAGCTTGACTGCAGAAATTTCTTAGTTTTGTATAAAATGAGTGCTTAACACCAATAGCACCACAATTTACACAAACCGCTGAAAAACATAATAATTATGTATATTTAATATATATTTTATTTAGCAAATATGAAACAAGTTTTTTTCCCCAGTTTTTTACTGTGAGAGAGTTGGTTTGGAACACATGTATGGGTGGCAAGGATTTGTCACTAAGAACCCGGGTAGTCACCCATTTGGGAACTAGTGACACCGTGTACTAGCACTCAGAACACATTTGTGACTGAAGCTACACTGAAACACCACGCCACAACAATATATTATAACAATATGTAAGAGGTGACATTTGATTTTGATATTTATACATATATAATTAATAATTATCATATAGGTATATATTTAATTAGTTGATTTTCAAAAAATGAATACAATAATACAAAAAAAAATTATATAACATGTCAAGCAAAAAGTTCTGAAAAATAATTGACAAATGTAAAATAAAATTTATTACTTTTGCATAAGTTATTATTAGGGCTGGGATTTCGATGCACTTTGCATTGTTTTTCAAAGCTTACTGTGCAATGCTTGTCTTGTCACAAATTTGTTTTATGTACATTTGAATGAGAATAAGAAAGTTCATTTTGCATTTTTTTGCATTTTTTAGTTTTTAGGTCATTTTCTTAATTTTTTAGGGCATTTTAGAGTTTTAGGAGCATTTTTTGAATTTTTGGAAACCAAGTGTATGAATTTGAAATTTTATTTTTAGATTTTTACACCAATATGGTTTTTAAATAAAAATAACAGATTATAAGTAGGCACTCGTAATTCGTATTATATTATCGGACAATCAACTTTTTTTATAGATTTATACTAAAACTATGTATTTACAGTTTACACTTGTAATAGATTTTTATAATGCATTTTTTAAAACTTTTTATTGTAATTTATACTAAAATTATTAAAAATAAAAAAATTTGTAGATCATAAAAGCATTTTTTT